CCACTCCATCCACTTGAATATCTCCATCGCCCTGGCGTCGACGAAGCCGTGGTTCTGAAGCGTCTGGCCTTGTTGACTAGCCTCGAAGACGGCGAGGTGGTCTGGGTACTTCGTCGCAAGATGACTGAGCAGGTTGAGTAGCCGGACGCAGGAGCTTGTTTGTGACTCGTATTGCACTGCTTGCAAGTAAAGACGCCGTTGCCGCAATCCGTAAAGTAGAAGTTGCACACGCTGCGAGAAGTCGACATGGGCCTGAGAGATTGGAATGAAGAATGAGAGAAAGTCTTCAGCTAGCAGACGACTAACTAGAACCTCCCAGAACCACCAACGTCGAGGCACCTGCACACCAGTCAACTGGTGAGAAATCAATACAGTAATTACGGGGACAATTTTATATTTTACGGACTTTTATGAAAGCCAATAATAAATTATTAAATAAATACAATGCTATAATAATTGTATTATATTTATTTTTTCAGAGCACTGTCCAGAATTAAATCCTATTACTGGTACTGCTTTAAGAATGTTTCGTACTTTAGAGTAGTCACCGTGGTCAGCGCCGCTCTTAGATAATATTGCGTTTAGTAGTATTTCAAACTTTTTACGATTAGCTTGGTAAATCTCAGCTTGAACCTCAGATATATACGCAAACATTTGTTCTAAAAGCATCTTAGGATCTTCATTGACGAAGCATTTAGTCTCCATAGATAAACTATCGCAAATGCTCACAGACACAGATATGTGACGACTAGTGAATTGAGAGTTTTCACCTCGCTTTTCATCAATATGCTTTAGAATGGTTCAAAGTCGTAAACAATGAAATGGTCTATGTAGTGATCTACGCCCTTAATCGAATATTTTGTTAGCATTTTTTTTTATTTGATTGGTAGGTGGTTGGTATGCGGTTGGATTCTTACAGAACTGCTCAAATACCTCAAACTCGCATTTGCTACGTTTGTGACCGTGAAGCTTCTGACATGTATCAAGAACCGCACCGCATACATTACAGGGATATTTACTAAGAAGAATATCTAAATTGGTGATATACATTGCATGACCCTTATAGCCCAAAATGTTGATAACATTCTTGAATTGCTTATACGATTCTCTGATTTTAGAAACCTTAAGTGTTTCCTGGTTCATCTCGAAAACATTTATACTTATCTTAAAGCAATCTTCTAGCTCATCGAATTGCATAATATCAATCGGCTCAGTGTCCTTGAAAAGCTTCGATGAATACTTAATATTTTTAAAGGCACAATATTGTTTGTATTGATCTTTAGCGAACGACACCATACGACGTGAATCGGGTTTGTTTTCTTCTAGATGATAAGCAATGCAATAGAACATTCCATTTGTTATCGGTCTTAGGGAAATCGACTACAAAACGATTTTTCTTAATACAGTCAGGACCTTGAATATTGTCAACCAGACTATGGTTTCTGTAATATATTACGACTTTAGCAGCATTCACTTCTTTAAACTGATAACTTGAAGATGGGAAGCTAATACGAGTGGTGAAATCTATCGTTTCAATGCTGTTAAAAACGTAATTGTCTATATCACTTTTTGAGTTGATAGCAATTGGTAGGTCGAAAATTGGTGTATTTGTACC